AGTTGCAACCAGAGTCACGGAACGGATTAAGTTCGTATCCCGAGGTACCACTGTATATTGGCATACAAATCTGCTGCCTGCAGAATAAGGTTTATGAGAAGTGGAGGAGGAGAGAGGCAGGGTGGGGACACCTCCTTTGGTGCAGGTACTGGCAGTAGAAGAGCAGTGCATCTCCTTTTGCAAGTTTTCCAATCCCACTGGGTAATCCCATTGTAGCTTTGGAGAACTGGTACCAAAGCAGCTGTTCTCCTCTACTTTTCTGCCTGTAAGGGAAGTGGAAGGAGAGAGATGGAGGGAAAGCTGGTCTGATTGATGCCTCTTCTCCCAGCACGGGAAAGACCTACTTTCCCTTATATTTTATGCATGAGTAGTGGCTAAAGAGCCACTTCTCTGTGGGAAAGGATTTTTTTTTCTTCTGTCAATTGTTTTTAAAAGTCCTCAGTGAATTGGCTTTTATTGACAAAAATATTGCAAAGCACCTTAGCCTGAGTCAACCTGCTGAAATATTATATTAATGATGTTACTCTTGTCTTTAAGATATTCCTAGAAATATGGCCAAGTTCCTACCAGTTCTGCTGTTTGCAACCCAGCTTTCTTTGATAGCAGGTGAGAGTTTTTTATTGGATATTTTCCAGTAATATTCTCAGAATTGTCCATTGAATTTACTGAACTTCAGATTTGTGCCAGAACTTTGAAACTGTTCACTACTTCCTAAAAGTTCAGGTTAGAAGAAGCTTGGCAGTAATGGGCTTTAAGCCAAAGTGAATCAGTGCTTGCAGTGCTTTGGTGTGGCCGTGGTCCTTTGGGAACAAGCCCGGTTGTAGTTCAGTGGGAGATATTCAAAAGGACAAATGTTGTTGCTTGGGTCTCCCTCTTTTCCATTCTGCTGGCACAAAAGATATTCCAAACTTATCTGGAGTAATCTCCAAAGGACTGAGTTTGGTTGTGGATTCAAACTCAGGGCAAGCAACTAGGAACCAGAGCCATTCTGGGAAAGAAGCCACATCGAAGCAGGCTTGGGAGAATCAACTGGAACCATGAACCTGATGCTTAGAGCAGCGGGGTGCCTGAAGATCTCTCCTTCAGCATCTCTTCCTGTGTCTCACCTGGCCTTTTCGTTTTGTAATTTACCATGCAGCCATGACAGCAGTTTTGTGAGTAGGGAAGACCCTCATCATGGCACTCATGAGACCTTCATTATGCAGTCTGAATGCCAACTGTGGCTGTCAGCAAAAAGGCTGCCTCCACTCCTCAGTTCATGCTGTTGAAGATTTCCATTTCTAGAATTATGTGGGGTTTTAGAATCTTCTTCCTGATAAATTTGCAGATCTCTAAAATTAACTTATTGTGTGTTTCGGTAATCATAACTAGAAGAAGAAAGGTGATACGTATTGTGCTATCGCTTTCCTGTGATATTTTCAAAGTCTAATTTTTTATTATGCCTGGAATTAGTCTCATAGTAATCTCCCGGTTTATGGGTCATGTGAAATGTGTTGTAAAACTAAAACACACTGGCTAGAAATCAGGGACTCTTCACAATGAAACCATTTCAAAGAGCTCGTCCCAGGTAGCTTTCTATACTGCTTTTGGCTACTTCTCAATTTAGATGGGCCAGTCTGTCATGTTCACCTCTGCTTGGCTTCTCATTCTCCTTTTTCTAATTTAAACTGACTGCTTCCCATTTCTCCATCAGGGGTAACTCAAAAAGAAAAAAAAGGGTCTGATTAGAAATATTTCCCCATTTTCATATATTTTTCTCCTAATAGATCTATGTTTAGTACACACTTTTTTCCTAACATCATGAGTTTGTATATGTACTTCTCTCTTGTATGCATTTTTCATCATGTTATGACTTTATCACTATATTGGTAAAAGTACAGACCAGCAAAAGAAAAAAAAATTCTGGTTTGCATATCAGAAGTGCAAATGATATTACTGAGTAAGTCTACATTAAAATGAGGAACAACAAAAGAAATGACTACTTTCTAGATCATCATTACTCCTCTAGAAAGCTTATAATGATTAAGACCACCTCATTAATCTTCTCCAGTTGACTCAGGGGATTCTACATTACGGGAGCAACAGGGGTTGTGAGCACATGAATGTGTAATCCCTTAGAAAGACATGTCACACAACTGTAAAGTAGTTTAGTTTAGTTTATTATTAATTGATTAGTCCCATGACCTTATCAATAAAACAAAACAAAATTAAAATCATGCAAGATACAATACATAATCCAATTCCAAAAAGGAAAACAGACAGGTGAAAATACAGTGATAAAATACATATGTGATAATACAAGAAGTCAGTAATCAGATAAATGAATCTCTCTTACAGGATACCCCAATTTGTTCAATGTATTGGGTTCTTATGACCGCTGCCTTAGTTATAAACTTAGCAGTTCTGCAAACAATATGCACATTAGAACCCAGGAGGAAATAAGACAATCTGTGGTTTGGATCCCAGTATGCTGTTCTTTCCAATAAGGGTGATAGATATTTAAACCTAATGGGTGCATATAATTGGCAATTGAACAAAATATGGAAAATATTTTCAATGGCTGGTGAACCACATATGCAGGTTCTTTCATGATATGGCAAGTGGTGGAAGCACACATTTTTGGCCATGGAATCCATCAACCCAAATCTAGCTCTGGAATAGCTCCTTCTTAAAAATTGTGGCAGACTCATTGATAGATATTTTTCAGGTTGAAAAGTAGTTGAATTTTTAGCCAGCCATCTTAATGATCTATTTTTAGTCAATAATTCCATGTCAGTTTGCGCACTAACATCTAGGACTCTCTGTTTAAAAATTTCCCTTACCTGAGAGGCCGTTGAAAGCAGATGCTGAATAGAAAACCCATATCGTGAAATAAGTTCAGAGAGTTGGCTGAACCAGGAATTGGGCTGCACCATATTTATCTGCTCAGTTAAGCATATTTTGGGAATATGCTTTAATTAAAGCATACTTTAATTATTAGATGTCTATGTAAGGAATGGATACCTAATTCCGCTCTGACTGCAGGGGCAGACGTACAGTGGAACCTCAGTTTACGAACTTAACTCATTCCGTGACTCTGGTCGCACCCTGAATTGGTCGCACCCCGAAGGAAATTTCCCCATAAGGTTCAATGTAATTACCGTTAATCCGTTCTGGCGTGGAGGACGGCTATTGCTTGGAGGGAGAGTCCCCCTCCCTATGACCACATGTCAGGGGTGGAAAATGGCCACGGACCACGTGTCAGGGGCAGAAAAATGGCCGCGGACCACGTGTCAGGGGCGGAAAATGGCTGCGGACCATGTGTCGGGGCGGAAAAATGGCTGCAGACCACGTGTCAGGGGCGGAAGAATGGCCGCGGACCAGGTGTCGGGGCGGAAAATGGCCAAGGGCCACGTGTCAGGGGCAGAAAAATGGCCACGGACCATGTCACGGGAGGGAAAATGGCCGCGGATCCGGTTCGTAACCCAAGGCGGAGTTCGCAAACCGAGGTAGATTTTTGCAGCTGGAGCTGGTCATAACCCGAAAAGTTCGTTAACAGAGGCGTTCATAACCCGAGGTACCACTGTATTCTTACCAGTTCCCAATATATATCTTAAAAAGCAGGTCTGAATTTGTTCAAGTTGGGTAGCTTTATTGAAACCCACAATTCTGCACCATAGGTCAGCATTGGAACTATTTTTGCCCTAAACACTTTCAATATAGGAAACCCACAATTCTGCACCATAGGTCAGCATTGGAACTATTTTTGCCCTAAACACTTTCAATATAGGAAACCCACAATTCTGCACCATAGGTCAGCATTGGAACTATTTTTGCCCTAAACACTTTCAATATAGGGGACAGAGTGCCTGGGTAATTGTAGTTAAATAATTTATATAATCTTTTAGTGCTTTTTAGTGCTTGCCATGGCCCTTGCCGAGCTTCTTTTGAAGTGATTTAACCACAAACCTGTACTAGTAAAAACCACTCCTAGGTAGTTAAAAAGATTCACTTGTTCAATAGACCCCCCATTTATCTGCCAGTTATATTTCATGCATTTCCTGCAGAATACCATCACTTTAGATTTGCTTTTATCGATGTTTAAAAAATTATGAGCACAATAGGTATTCAGTTTTTGCAGCAGTCTTCTCAGGCCTATTTGGGAATGTGCCATTAGAACCATATCATCAGCATATAATAAAATGTTAATAAATTTATCAAGGATCTTTGGCATATGAGTGTCTACATCATACAGGAATCCAGGTAAATCACTGACATACAGATTAAAAAGCATTGGGGCTAGAATACAACCCTAGCCCCAATGCTTTTTAATCTGTATGTCAGTGACACCATTAAAGGTGGGTATACTCTTATTTAAAGAGCCATTTACACCTATACGAACTTTCAGATGTGTGTTTGAACAGAGGGCCTTAACCAAGAGTTTGTAGAAGATGGCGACAGAGCAGCAGCTTTCTTGCTGGGCTCCTTATGATATTTTATTTGTTTTATTCGTTTTTATAAGTAGCTTAGCTACATATCATAATTTTTATCTAGTTTTATTTAATAAACATGGGGGGGATCCTTCTGATCAGGAGAAGTTGCTGGAAAATCAATTCACATTGTCGAGAAAAATGGGGAAGAACAAGAAATGCAATAGGACTAGCCCAGGTGCTCAGATTCTAGTCAATCCTACAAAGCAGCCAAAAATTGAGGACTATGAGAGGAACAAGAAAACTGTGAGTAAAAACAACATAAAGTAAAGGTATTTAATTGATTAGAGATCTATCTGTAGGCTCCTAGTTAGCTGGGTTACTGCACACATATTCCTGCATAAAAATGTCAATTGCTGGTGGATACTCAAGTTTTGTCTGCTTGTTTCTTTTGCTTTTTTTTCAGCTGTATTCAGGGTGAGTGTTGTTCAACCTCATTACTCTGCAGAATATGGGAGCAATGTGACTATAGGATGTCGCTTTCCAGCTGATAACTCCTTGAATCTGACACATTTAAATATCTTCTGGCAGCAAAAACTGTCAGAGGAACCCAAGGAAGTTTACAAGCTCCAAAATGGACGAGAAGACCTCTCAGGGCAACACCAACATTTTCAAGGAAGAGCTACATTGCTTCATGAGGAATTGAAAAGGGGCTATTCTATGCTACATATCACCCATGTAAGGATCACAGATGCTGGATGTTACCTTTGCGTTGTTAACTATCATGAAGCTGATTACAAGTATATTGACTTGAAAATTGAAGGTTAGTAGCCGTAGAACGTCAGTGGCAAAAACCTTAATGATGTGCCATTCTTTATCAGTGAAAAATTCAGGACATGCTTTCTAGTATTCATTTTCTCCAAAGAAAAGAGCACTGAAGACTACTTGTAGGAGGAAAGACGTGTTAGTCTATGGTGGCCAAAAATCCGAAGGAGTCTGGTAACACCTTTTCAGATGAACAAATTTTATTAAAAAGCGTATGCCTTGATAAAAATTGTTAGTCTGGAAATATGCTACCCTGACTCCTCCTGATTTTTAAAGACTTGGTATATTAATCCATTATGCAGATAGAATTGTGTAAAAATACATGGGGATTATGGTCCCTTGTTTGCTCCCTCCTTGCTGACTTCTTGTTCCTCACACTACAGAGCCAAGGTCTCAAGTGAGGGGCTATTTTACCTACAATAGCTGTCATTTATTTTAGAGCACTAGAAGATCATGTAGGGGGCCTACACAACCAGCCATGGAATCTACACGAGGGAGGCAACCTTGAACTATAGCTGGTCATGTTCTAACAAAGTGACCCAGATGGCAATGGGGAACTAGGATTTATCTCCTCTCTTCCACACACCCTTGTAATCATGGAGGGATAAGAACATCCCAGGAGAGCTTATGATTTTGTCATCATTTGTTTTATAACAAATAAACAAATTACTGTCTTCACATCTTCTACTTCCTGTTTCCTATTTTTTATGGCTCCTCAGAAATTTCCATGGCAGGTAGAAGGGAAGTTCTGAGGTTAGATTTTCCCACTCCAATCTTGAAAAAGAAATTCTGAGTTATATTTTATAGCCCTTGGCATTTTTTCCTTTGGATCAGAGGGCTACAACATATTTTTAAAAATGCAATTAGGAGTTTCTGTGTGAGTAATAATGATCAAAATTTAGCAGGCAGAAAGAGGGATTTGAAGCCTTTCTTTCTTTTCTGAGGCCATGATAAAAATGGTTCCTTTTAAGCTTTTATTATTGGGAGGAAAACTGCTAATAATATCATTATAGCTTTTTCCCAAAACATTTTTTAAAGATTCGCACACTGAATGAAAAAGTGCATTTAGTAAAATCAACACAAAATCTCTCTCCTAGTATAATGTCTTTGTGAATCACCTCTGAGGAAAATAAAAACAAACAGTGGCACAGAAATATCTGAACGAAATGTCTGAAACATGTAGAGATCTTAAGTAATTATTGCACTCTCTTTCTTTTTATGTAGCACCTTACAAGAGGATAAACATCCAGGAAAGAAAAGAAGAAGAGGACCACATCTTAACTTGTCAATCAGAAGGGTACCCCCTGGCTAACGTTTTTTGGCTTTATGAAGAGAAAATCAACAACTCAATATTTACAAACACTACATATACTCTGACAAATGCAGGACTTTTCAAGATAACCAGCATCTTGAGAATCAGACCAAGTATTCCTGGAAATTACAGCTGCGTATTCCAAAATAAGGAATCAAGGCAAACATCAGCTCACAGAACAGTATTTCCAACAGGTAAAAAGAGTAATGCGTTGCTTATGTGGGATTTTAATCCTTGCAGAAAATGAAAAGCCAGTATGGTTAGGATTCCAACCATAAAAACTGTGTACAGATAGGAATATGGAGGATTGGCCTATGATATTGAAGATGCTCTAAGAAACATGTAGATAATGGCCAAGGAACTCAAATGTAGGATAGCTGAAAGAAAAAGATATAAGGTGCAATGGGTTAAAATCTAGGAAGAATAATTGAATGAGGCCGAGACTGGAAGGAAATCATGGGCAGAGAAGATGGGTGATAACTTTTTCTTCTGAAGCAGGTATAGTGAGGAATTATTCTAATCCAACCTATCTATTACTTTGTCTCCCTCTCTCAGGGCTAGAGATCAGGTTCGGGGCATAATTGTAGCCCTAGGACTTCAGTGTGGAATTCATAAATTTCAGATTCCAGAAAACTTCAAGTTTTAAAAAATCCATGCAAAATTTCAGTATTTGTCTGCAGGGACAAATTTTTTTAAACATGTAGATTGTCTCATAAGCTTTTTAAAATCAAATAGGGCATCCCACTAAGTTTCTGTGATGCATCCATTATACACCAATCTCTTCCTATAAGCCTTAAATCCAGTTGTCCTCTTCTTGCTCTTGTCTTTTGTTATCCTCCATCTTGACAATCATTACTGAAATCTTCTCTCGTCTATATATAATTCAGACTTGCTTTTCAGATGTATGTCAGAATTAGATTATGAGCGAGGTAGAGTTTGCTGTTGTGGTTAAGGCACCAGGCTAGAAACTGGGAGACCGTGAGTTCTAGTCCTGCCTGAGGCATAAAACCAGCTGGGTGTCCTTGGGCCAGACCCTCTCTCTCAGCCCTAGGAAGGAGGCAAGGGCAAATCACTTCTGAAAATCATGCCAAAGAAACTGCAGGGACTGGTCCAGGCAGTCGCCAGGAGTCAACACTAACCTGAATGTGCAAAACAACAACAATAATATTAATAGGCAAGGTATTGTAAAGTCCTGACTTGTGAAACCTGGCTAATTTTAACCTTGGGTTTTTCTGTTTCATGAACTAAGTCCATTTATGGTTTATCACAGGGCTCTCAAATTTTCTGATGCTGTGAGTCCCTAAAAATGCTAAATTAATTCCTGAGCTCCACTTTATGAATAAAATTAATATTAAACAGATAATATCGAAACATGGTTGATGGATGATTTTGAAAGATGGCCAAACCCACAAATCTAGTCATTTCTCAAAACCCATTGGGGCATTACGGTCTATTTTGCTGGGCAGTCAACAGTCAGGCTGTCCAAGCCAAGTAGGGGGCAAAGTGGAAGTGAGTTCTGAAAGCTCTCCAGCTTTCTTAAGGCAGCTTCATTCCAGTTTCTCTGAATCATTCTTAAAGGTGATGCAAATAACTTAAAGTGAAATCAACTTCTTTTTCCTTACCAATTATTGTTTCCATACAATTTGCCACTGAAAACAGTGTCAAAGGTAGAGGGTCATCTGACTGCTGTAACAAAGTTATTGCAGCCCCAGAGTAGCGTCTGCATTTTTTCCCTCTTGGGCCTATTTCTCTATACAGTGTGCCTGCTGCTAACTTCTGTCAAGAAATGTGCTGTTCTTTAAACTGTGGAAGGCCCTTCAACACTGCCCTGAAGTTGCCCAACCGAGGAGTAAAACAGGATGTCTTGGCCTTCTCCAAGAGCTCACTTGAAGAGGCATGACTCTGATCTCTTCCTGAGTGATGTCTATCAGAACTTGCTCCATGTCTTGCTTCTACTTCACTCAGTCAAAACCAGAGCAAGCGCTGCTCAGCTTGGCCTGCCTGGGCTTCAGATTTGCAAATACAAATCCCAAATTGCAACCTTCTTCAAAGTTGCTTGTGAACTGCCTGGGCGGGTGTCACAACCATTTCAGAACCCCAGTTTTAAAGCATGATGTTGATGGCAGAAAATGAGTTAATTCAGAAACCAGGTTAAGTATGCACGAACACAGCATTATGTGTGTAAATACTAGTATTTAGCATTTAAACATGGCACACGCAGAGGGGAAAACCTCACCTGGATTAGAAATAGTAAGTAATAGGAGGTAATTGTTCATACTGTCTGGTGCTGTTAGGCTTGTGAGGTAGTCCAGACAAGACGCACAACCAGGGATACTAGCTCCATCTTTATTGTAAGGTTACATTAACGTAATCTTGCAAGACTTGAAAGTATTTCTCCCCTCCTTTCTTTTTGCTCTCCAGAAAACTAGGGAGGGTCCCTTCTGAAACGTTTCTCATGCCCTCCCTCCTTCTGTGGGCCGAGGCATCTTTTACATGCCTGTTGTCCAGTCTGCACCTCTTCCTCCTGTCTCCCAAGGTCATTCCATTACAGGTGCTAGCTAATTATAAGTTCTGGCTTTTTAATTTATTCACTTTTCTCAGAGAGTCTTAATAGGAACTATTAACTGTGTTATTTTTATTTTGGGCATTTATTGCGTAAAACCACATTTTGTTTGCTTGTTCCTTATAAAGCCCAGATAATATCATGAGCAAAATATATTCTTTCAGGTTTCTCCCCTTCAGCTTCCTTCTTTGTTCAGAACCTGAGAAAAGTCTAACTTTAAACACATAAGCACATATGTGCACATGCATACACATAAAACATGCACATCAGAAGAGCTGCGCAATTTCCACTGGAGTAGATGAATCATGTTATCTCCAACAGTTCAATTCTAACAGTTCTTTTGGCTAGCTATAGTTGCATAAATTGCTCTATAGATTTCTTCCTCTGGGGTCCATCCCTCTGCTCTAGGAAACAATCTTCATCATTTTAACTCTTTCTTTTCCAAAAGTCTTTCCTACATATATTTCTGTTTTTCACCTCTTCCAAAATTACAGTGGTAAAGAGGATCAATCTTTATGCAAGCTGAAGCAAAAGGGGAGGGGGCAATTAATGCTTTCTCCCACATCGTGGTCATACAAACTCATCCCCAATATTTAGAGCTAAAGAAAGAGGATCATGTCATTTGTATTTATCTCACCGCATGAAACAGAAAGTTGTACACTGCTTTAGGTACTTCCAGATCACAGAACGGTCCTAATACTACCAGTTAAAAGATCTGCAGATACTCCTTTATGTTCTTCCTTAACTGATTTTATATGAAACAAAGACAAAAGAAGCAGTGGGAAAAGACAGAAGGGTTATGAATGGAAGATAATGTCTTTTGGACCTCTTGTGACAATATGTGAGAGAGACAGGGTCATTATACACGGAAAGCATCTTAGCTTAGCAACCACTTGAAATATCTAGGATGGCTAGCCGCTGGCAGGAGCTAGATGTCTCCATTATGGAGGGAGCAATTTCCCAGCTGTTCCCCAATTCCTTTTGCTTGGTAAAATTTACTACATGCAAGGAGATGGGGCAGACTGAACTAAGGACTTGAAACCATGCTGGAAATAACTTAGCATCATGTGGAAACCACATTGTTTCTGTTCCTGATATTAGTTTTTTCTATGAATATTGTTCATCCGGTTTTTGCTAAATTCCTGGGATTCTAACATGGGAAATATACTTTTCATAGAGTGAACAAAAATAGAACTCTAGCCCATTGCATCCATATCTCTATACCATAAATGTATGGGACTAAACGTTTTCCAGTTTCGGGGATAAAATAATTCTTACAGTTGAACAGGAGAAAAGGGTACACGTGATGATCTAGGACAGGTCTATGCTGCCAAGTCATGTTCAGTTCTCTTGAAAAGAAGATGTATTCGACCTTTATAAGCACGGCATATGCTATTTTAGCATCTGTGAAAATTAGAGACCTAAGGGATTGTGCTATATCAAGGAAACCCTTGAAACATGGCTGGTCAACTTCTTGGCTCCAAGGGCTGTACAAGTTGTCTATCAGTGGCTCAGAAGCTGCAGTGTGCTTGCTTCTGATCCTCCACTACCCACTCTCCTCACGTTTGGTCCCTGCCTTAAAATGTCAATTTCCCCTGGTTTTCTGCATGTTGGAAATCTTTTATTTTGAATCCAATGGAATTTCCATATTTGTCAAGCATATAATTTTGAACCAATTTATTGCCATAAGTCTGCATACTTGAGTTGTGGGGCCTAGGAGACTAATACTAAGGCAATTTATTCAAAGTTGTTGTTATTGTTTCACTTTCCCCACACGTACATGTCTTTTTTTCTTTTTCATTTCTATTTGCTTTGTTTGCTGTAGATAATGAAATGTCTTAATGATATAGACATAATCAGAAAGGTTGAAAGACATGTGAAGGATAAATATCTAAACAACAACTTTAAGAGACTGACAGATTGATGCAGAACATTATTGCACAAGTGAAATCCCTTTTGGATACTGCCAGTCCAATAGAATCAAAGTAGTAGGATATTCTGTTGATTTAGAATTGCTTCTTCCAGGAGAGCATGACAGTAATTATCTAAGGGGCAATGTCTGCTAGGACTTGACTTGCACTGACGTTTAGCTGTTCCCTGAAATTAACTCTCATCTATCATTTTCAAAATGAATCAAATGCCATAATTCCATGTTCTAGATCTTTTTCAGACTTGGCAACTTTAAGATGTATGGACTTCAACTCCCAGAATTCCCCAGCCAGCTAAACTCCCTGGTCCATCCATCTTTAATTTTTTTAGTTTTAATCAAAAATATTAATTAGAAAGCTGACATGCTGCAAAGAAAGCACCAGTCTCTAGCTTCATCTTTATTTTCCAAAGTTGTCTGAGCTACATAGGCTTCACAGGCATTCTTTAAAAATGGAAAATGGTGGGCAGCTGGAGCACAATGGGAAGTGTGTCTACCAACTCCCCCAAAAGAAGAAAAAAAGACTGGGATAATAGAGAATATTATGGGTAGCTAGGATATTGTGAAAAGGCAAGCTGTTATCATGACAATCATGGTAAAAGATCACATTTATGTGATTTCTAAAGTATCCTGGTGTAAAAAAGTTGAGCATCCTGCTGTGGTAAGGATTATGAAAACAGATACGTATACCCAATTTCTTAGACCTACCAATGGAGAATCAGGTTTTGTGCAAAAACCCAAAAGATTACATTTTCTT